TTAGAAGCGCATTAAGACTTTTTCATTGATCCTTGCAACACAAACTGCCCTTGGCAAAGACAATTTGTTTTTTTCTACCATCATGAAATCAAACCAGAAACTCCTCAGCTCCTTCCCTGGCACAGCTTTCCATGTTTAGTGCATTCACATAGACAGCAAGAGACCTCAGTCTCAGAATTCCCTTCTCCGTTAGGGATTTCACCTGGCACCTCAGGGGGGGTTATTTTTAAACTTGCATTCAGTTTGAACCTTCACAATCATTTTTCTAAACTTCGGATCAGGCAATCCTTGAACTGAACCAGTTGGATAAACAGGAAAACAGCAAACACTGCCTGCACCTACAACTCCTACTGACGGACCGACCACTTCCACAAACTCTTGTCCCACCTGCTTTGGGAATTTTTCCACATCTAATAATGAGCTGTTGGTAACTTGGAAGAAGCTAAATGTTCATATTGGATTCTATAAGAGATTGAAATAGATTATAGCAATTTTATGCCTTAACATCAGCAGTCAAGTTTTTATTGTTAAATACAATTTTAAGTTTGTTAACATAACACAGCTTTAATAAACAAACTTACTCCCCACCTCTTCTTCCTTCAGTCAGAGAAAAGCAACATTCCCTTGTACAGCTTAATTCAGAGAATGGGGTTCTCTCCATAAAGTGGGGAAGACAATGGGGTGCCTTGATTTTGTTTTTAGTCCAAATGCTGAAGTACAGATCCCAAGCAGTCACTTCACAATCATCATAAACAAAACTATGAAGATTACTATGGGTGTTTCCCTGCTCAGAAACTTGACTGAAATTATTATAGATTTAAAAGGACATAACAGGTTCTTGCTGTACATAATTCAATTACTGTACATTGCCAACTGAAAAACATTTTATTCTGTACCAACACACAAAAAAACCCCAGTCTTTCAGGAAATGCATCATCCCAATGTTTTGTCAGGTTGCAGAGGACTTAAGTACTGAACCAACCCCACAATAAAACCATGTCACATGAGGACTACGGTTTAATGTGCTTGCTTATTGAGCTCCCTTCTATTTACTCTGGGGTAGAGATTACCTTGATTTTTATGAGGGTGCAGAAGCAGAAAGGAACGAGGCAACACCCACCACTACTCACTTCAACCTCGAGCACAGCCAGATTTTCAAATAATCTGTGTTCACACATGGCACATCCCCCCACTCTTAACACTTGGAGCTGCACCAAGTGATAGATTTACACAAAAAGCAAGGAAGGTAAGTGACAAAGGCCAGGTAACTACAGGGCGAAATTAACACATGAACAAGATTAAAATACTGTTTAAGGATCTGAGGACAAACTGTAGGGATCTGGCCAAGAATGAGTAACAGGTGGTCTCCTTCTCATGTCTAAAGGTTGGTATCTAAATAAAGTTTTGCTTTCCTTCAGTTCTCATTTGAAAGCTTCTGCCAGAAACAAGATGGTATCAAATGAATTTAGGAACATTCCTCAGATTAGATGTTCCATACAATCTTCAGAAAAAAAGTAAGATCTATGCAAATTTCCCTATTTCCAGTACATGTGGTATATTAAGAGACTTTGCCGTGGCCAAAAGTGGTACAGAGATTCTCCAGAATCCATCAATTCAGGAAATACTACGGATTTTCAACCCCACAAATTTCAGTTAGGTAGAGAAAAGCAACACAGGGGTTAATGCAACAAGTACACTCTGCCAGAACAATGCTGCTGTCTGATTTTGGTTATTGTTAATTTTGAATGATTAATCTCCTGTTTATGTAGACTTGCATACGAAATTAGTCCGGTTCGCATCCGCAAAAAAGAACTGTACTAAGGATCCAACATTAACCAAAATCAAGTCGAATTATCAGAAGCCCTACAAAATAATACACATAATACACCCTGACCGGGAATTACTTTTCCAGAGCCACGCGTGAGCATTAATTACCAGCCGACGCACACCGCTATTGTTTTGACATACGCCACACGGATCCTGTTCTTCCTCATGGCTTTGATTAAAAATTTGGCTTGCGGAGAAGTTTGCATTGTTCCTTTTAATAACTGCAGCAGCTACTTCCAGGCTGCTGCCGCCTTTGCACCCACCTCACCCTTTCCTTCCCTGGGGACACAGGGAGAATCCCCCCTTGCAGGGCAGCAAAACGCTATTGCAGAGAAACAGCGAGGCACCTCACATCTCCAATTAAATTAAATTAGAGCTTTTAGTTTTGTTTTTTTCTCCTTTTACATTGACACACTGCGAAAGTTTTTAGAACGCTCGATAAAAGCTTCAATAGCTCCCTCTGCTGCCAAATAATATATATTTCAGCTGCTCTATGCAAAACCCGGTTGCAGCTGACAAAAATCATAGAATTATAGAATGGTTTGGGCTGGAAAGGACCTTAAAGCCCATCCAGTTGCAACCCCCCACCCTGGGCAGCGACACCTCCCACCAGACCAGGTTGTTTAACACTCTTCCAAGTTTGCTGCTTTTAAAGGAGAATTATTTTGACTGTGAATCAAAATACTAAAGACCAGTAGTTAAACACTCACTATTTTCATATCACTTCAAAATACTATCATATTCAATGCAAAAAAACACACCATGTTACCTGGGTATCGAGCTGGATATACAGTGACCGAGAGGGTTTACACATATAAAAAGCGAGGGGTTACACAGAAAGAAAAATACACTTTCAAATATATCCTTCCTTTGTACAAGGCAGTTACACTGCAGCTCATCTTGCTGCCGTTGCATCTCTACAGCACTAGGGGCTGCACAGATATAATTTAAGAAGCATTTCAGTTAAGATACAACCGATCTAACTCTGCAAAGAAGACAAAGCAGGCCTGGCCGCATGTCCAGAAACATAGGGCCAAGCATTAGCCACATAAGGCCCCTCCATGCCACAGGTGACTTGGTAACTCTTCTTACTTAAATTTACCAGCAAAACTTACCACCAACCCCTTCATTGCCCCAGTCTGGTCATAGATAATTCAGAGGTCACTTACTTTAACAGCACGTTTCAGTCATTGCTGGTGCATCTCCTCACAGGCCTCTGCGGCCTTCACACTTCCAGCGCCGCAGGCCTGGCCCTCTCCTCAGAAACTGAGAGGAACAAACTCCTCATTTCCCAAACCCCTCAGCTTCCTTTTCCTCATCTCAACCCGGCCTTACAGATCCTTTTACTAGTTTTGTCTCACCAGATGATCTTAATCCAGGTGGTAGTAGCTATACAGAGTAGTAGTTTTAAAAAAAAAATTTAAAAAAATCAGCTGGCCCGGCCACAAGGGGTGCTGAGGAGAAGAAACTGTGCCTCCAGAGCAAGGGATAAAAAACACATTATGGCAAGAGTAAACAGACCTGCAGCACCTCCTTGCACGCCCAACAACTGAAGCGGAAGGGAAAAACTTCAAAAATCAACAAGGATTTGGAAAAGAAGAGAGAAATGGAAGTTGCGTCCAGCGTCTGCCTGTACTTTGAGCGAAGTGGAAACTTGCCTCAAACAAAATTCCCCAAGTTCAGGACTTCACAACACACTGAGAAAAAAATCTAAATCTAAATCCATCTTTATCCAGCCAAATCTTGCATGTTGTTCATTCATATTAGATAGCCAAGGCTTAACCAGTCTGTTTTCATGTTTATTTATTAGTTTTCTTCCCAAGTGTCAAAAATACATTGCACATGTGCTCTGTTCTCTTCACAAGTAAAATCATATTTTATTAAAGGCAGAGTAGCTCCCTCATCTGTTTTACTCCAGCAGCACAAGGTGGGATCCTGGATTTTGGAATAGAGTGTCTGTAATTGGGGAAAAACGATATAAGTATTATCCATGAAAAAAGAAAAAAAAGTCCATCTGGAAAAATTTCCTCACATTTCTTTTGAGGAATTCTCTATGTCAGTCCAGTTATGCTAGAATTTCTTAAACTTTAATACAGCAATCCTCTGTTATTTCACACACTAGCTAGTAAAACATTCAAATTACAGTATTCTATCCTTATATTTTCTGTCATCTGAGTTTGTTGATATATTTGCATTCAGTTTTAGCTTCAATATAACCTGAAATTGTTACTGAAAGCATTAGAAGATCAAGGAAAAGGGCACAGGGGGAAAACACGCTAAGGGAACAAGCAGTATGATGTATTACTCTCAGGTTGTTTTGTTATGTAGAAGAAAAAAGGAACAAAAAACATCCCTGAAAATGAAAATCAGAAAGTATCTTCAATTTACAGAAGCTTCACTATCAGCAGTGTCTCGATTCTCTTTAAAAATTAATGCCTGAGGGATTTTTAAATCATTTTTCATTCTGAATATGAACAACAGCTGCATATAAACCTCTAAAATTCAAATACAGACCTCAAAACAGACCTTGCGTGATGCAGCTAGGAACACTGAAATAAAAGAACAAAAACCTGCCACCAGGATGGTGCCCTGATAATTACAGTTGAGCTAGACACAACAACTTGCTCCAAGCCTCCTTCACACTATTCCTACAGCAAAACTCATTTTTGATGCCATTTACAGATCGAAGTCATCTGTGAGAAGGTAACGTAGCAAATTAAGCATTGTAGTATTGCAGAGGGACACGGGTTGAGAGGAAACAACTGCAAAGAGCTTCCTGTCATTTTTTGTTCCATACCTTACAAAAACAATTGAGAATAAAGAAAACGTTGTGCAGTTTTTAAAAGCTCTATGTCAAATACAATAAAAAGTTAAGAGTCTTGATACTTTAAAGGTAAAAGGTCTTTAATCAGATACCAGCTTGGATTAAAGCACAAATTTTTTTCTTTCCCATATAAAATATGGAACTAAGGTAACATTTGCAATTGTGTTTTTTTTCTCAAGAAAATAAAACTTCTCTGAAGTAACATCACCCAACAATTCGATCTTCTTACTACCTCCACAAAAAAAAACTCCAGAGGCAAAGAGATTATGCATTATACATTAAGACTATGCACAGGTTCCATTTCACACAATGGATAAAGGCTTAAGGAAGTCACAAGCAAGTTTAAGAATCAATTTAATTTTTTTTTTTTATTTACTGCTTGGTAGTACAAAAGTTGCATATAAACTATTTTGTTAAAAATACATCTGATATGCAAATTTAAGAAAGGCTGACTAATATGGCAATATCCATACCCCTACAAATGAGCAGGGTGTAGTGTTAAATGCAACGAAACAGGCACAGATTCTAAATCCTCTTATTGAAGTAGCAACTCACAAGTTAAATTTTTGCATATATCAGGCTTTATAATACCTTCTGTAAGTATTTTATACAGGTAAACAATGTTTTACATATCCATTTTCATTTCTTTCATTCTCCATTTTCCCAATGGAATCAAAATAGAAACTACTTTTAAATTAAGTAAAAAAATACATATTTCTGTTTAAACCTTCTTCCATCCCTTTGGCAAATTTACTTGCAGTACTAACCCATCATCTATCAAAACATAATATTATCAAAATAACACTTTTTTTTTTTTTAAAGCTTTTGGGACAGTCTATAACTGTGTATCTCCTTTCTGAAAATTATTTGAAACTGCTTGGTTTTGCCCAATACTCCCTTTTTCCAGTAATATTTAATCCTCATAGCTCTCAATCTCCTGGAAACTGAAAGCTGACTACTATAAACAATTCTTCTAGAAACATTAGCTCTTTATACAAATAATCAAGTGGAGCTTGAAGAATAAAAAAGTATGCCTGTAATGTGAGCTTGGTGTCTAAGTTGTTTCAATATTGAAGAGATTTCATAAGCCAGGTTTAAATTAATGGAAGCAGGGATGCAAAACCCTCAAGTTCCAGTTATTTTGGGTTCTCAAGGATGGACAATTATCTTTAAAAATGCTCATTTTCAAAACAACAATAAACGATTTATCCTTTTCGGGTCTTTGGTGGGCGGTGGGTTTGTTGGAGGTTTTTTTGGCAAATATAACATCAGTGAAAAATATATATTGATAGGTCCAGTCGGTGTCTCACGGACACTAATAGAAGGAAGACCATTGACAACACATATTTTCAGCAGGAATGAAATAAACTTAATGTTTCCTGGCAAGGCGTGGGACCATCTAATACATAAGCAAGAAGGTGAATTTTTTATCTTTGTACACGTTGATTGTTAACACTGCATAAAGCGATGGAGAAACCTGATTCTCAGATATGAAGGAGAAACACAGTTTAGAGCACTTGGACTAAAAGTATTGAAAGCATTGATTAAAAACACATCAATTCCAAACCAAACACTGATTTTCATCGAGTTCATTCTCAGAATATAGTGCAATCTCTACTAAAAGGCTACATTGCATTAGAGCTTATATTCTTAGGCACTCAGAACAAGTGTTATTTTTCAGTTTCTGTAACACAGCAAAATTTGCTGAAGTATTGCAAAGACTTCCCTCCCCAAAACACGTAACAGGACAAAGCAGGGATCATGATAAGTAGACAAAAAGAATTAACATCACAAAACCGTCCCTGGTTATTTTTAGCTCTAAGTCACTCTTGAAATATGAAGGGAGTGACACTGGCTTAAGATTTGATGCCAATGAAAACAGCTACCCTCAGTCCAATAAAGCCACTTTGAGGTACTTTACCACATACTCCATAAATTTTTTTTAATGCCAAATATTCCATATCCTTATATAACGGCTGAAATACGTTGCCTTAGCTTTAATAAGGAACCTGTGGGTAAAAACAAAAGAGAAAGGCAAAACTATCAGGCGTTCTTCAAACAGGAGTGAGCAGTTACAAGGAAGTGGGAGAACAAGAGGCCTCGAGGAAAAGGACCTTCCTAAGAGCTCGCCCCAATTTGCATAGAAAAAGCCGCTCTTCAGCCTACGTTAAGTAGTAAAGAGGAAGACAACGATTTCATTTAATATCTGCAGAAAGCTGAACCACTCCCTACTGTGAAATACCCTTCACAGAGTCCGAGCGCTTCCGTACTAAAAGGCACACATGCAGATTTTGGCTGACATGATTATTTCCTTGCATATTTGGCTGGGCTACTAGCGGTTAACAGTTAAAAAAGACTATTTTCATCTTCCAAAAGCTGGCTTTTACCTTCAGCAAACGCTTGTCGATTCCGGAGGGGAAGAAGAGAGGAGAAAAATCCACATGGACCAGAGGAGTGATCACTGTTTATCCACAGAGTAATCATATTACTCCTAATATTGTGCTCATTAAAAATGCTTGTCTAAGTACAAAAAAATTAAGATTATTTGATAAGGCTTTTACCTTTCCTGTCTAAAAGCATTAATTTTTCTTTCCAAGATGAAGCCCAACACTCGGTATGAGGTCGACACAGCTCAACAGCATTTAAGTGTCTAAATCTTACTGATTTTTACTGGTGAAAAACCATTAAGTGTTTAACCTTGCACAGATGCCATCACAGAACTTGTAAAATGCTACAGTGCCATAAATACATTTCCTTAAATAGTATGAATCTCTTGGGAGTTTTCAGTTTTCTCCAAAGTGCTAGCAGACAAGTTTCTTCTATAAGTTCCACCTGCAAGAGAAGAAAGCAATTGTGAAAATAAGCCTCAATAGCAAAATTAGGGGTATGATGAACACGCCAATTAAAAAGTCAGCAGATGGTCTCAAATGGGGGAAAAAAAAAAACAACCCTGATTATATGAAGTGGTTGCCGTGCATTTCAAGTTCAGTCTGTGAAATCCTAGAGGGGAGGAGCTAAAAATTCAGCTGAATGAATTTTACTCATGGAAAATGATGAACGAACACACGGACAAACTGCAAAGCACATGAACTTTGAGAAGGACACCAGGAATGGAAAATATTACACAGCTTCAGTGCACCAGAACCTTCAATTTTTGTTTACTCAGTAGCTTACAATGGACGTGCAAGAGCTCCACCCCAAATTCCAAACTATCAGCTGTATATCTGCTACTCTTTAAAAAAAAAATATTTTAAATAAAAAGTGATGAAATGGAGCCTGCTGAGAAGATGGACCTTGGAGACATGGAGAAGACATGCTACGACTTCAAACCATGCAGCCAGCAAGACACTGGGATAAGCTGAAATACTGTTGAGGTCACTTCAAGAAAATACTAAGAGCATGTCAGTTGAGGAGAAAAAAACCCAAAACCCTGAACTCCTGTTCCCTGAATATTGTGTCATTCAGGGACTGCCCAACTCAGGAATTCCATCTCGTAGAGGAACTCCCAGTCACAAAGGTTGAAGTCAGGCCACAAAGCACAGACCTACTGCCTCCAGATGCCAGAACAAACCTTTTCTGACAGCAGTTAAACACACATTTGCATCTGCCACCTCCCTCTGCATCTGAAGATCTCAGCCAAAGTCTCTAAAACTTTACCCTATTTATCATAAATTGATTGGCTGGGAGCACAGAAGTCTTAAATGCTGACTATATCTGTTGCGTTACAGTAAATTAAGCTCTAATAATTCATTAGATGTCTGAAATAAGTAATTGAAGCAAAGGTCTCACTGCTACCTGTTGATACGTGAACAGCTTATCATCGTATGGGACAAAAACCGATCTAGAACCACGTGAGGGAACAGCATCACCATCCTTTCAAGCAAAATCTGTTTATTTTCTGTAGTGCTCATCAAAGAGGCCTGGCTCCCTTCCCGGATGATTTACAAAACAGCTCTGTTGGACTGGAGAGACCTTTACAAGAGATTCTGTGGAGCCAGTTCTCTGCTATTAGAACATCTGGTTTTCAGAAAGGGCAAAACTTTAATCCCAAGGGAAGCTGTACAACAAAAAGCTGCCATAGATGGACATTTAAATTTTTTATAGCTATACTATTGTATCTCTCTAGAGAACAGCTTATTTTTAGATTAAAGGAGTAATGGTTTAAGTTTAGAGAACCACTTTTATGTAATTACAGAGAACAGCTTTCTTATTTAGGGAAGGGAAAACAAATTAGAAAGAAAAGAGGACTACAAAACATTTTTAGAATTATTTCCATTTCAAATATTTTATTTTTTTTTAATTTTTAAATCAAAGTGCGCTGGAATTAACTTTATTTTCATATATGCCTTTTCCATTTCTAATGTTTAAATAAGAGATAACTAGTCCGCCTTTGAGTCATAAATCACATTACAAAGAGTCTGATCGTGATGCCATTGCAGATACAGAAAAGAAAAAACAACTAGTCACAGGAGTAACACAACAATTAACTGGCCACGAAAATGCCAATGCAGCTAATGAAGAAGTTATCTTGTACTACCTTTAGCCAATATTGATTTTTAAAAAGGGAAGAAAGGAAAAAGAAACCAAACCACCACCAACAACAAAAAAATAAATCCCTGAGGACCAGGACATAGTTCTGAATCGGAAAATAAGATTAAAGCTTGTGGTTCCCTGACATCTGTAGATCCTCATAGGTTACAGAGCAGCAGGGAGACACCTGCCACTACAAAGCTGTGATTTGCCCTAATTTGCCACAAAACAAAAAGCAAAATAAAAAACCCAACCGTCCTTAGTCTATTTGCCTGCCTCCAAGGTGGGGTGAACTATAGTTACACCAGCTTTGACAAGGGTTTCCCTGGTCTGCTCTTGCAAATGCCCAGCAATAAAGACACAATGCTCATTACAACTTCTTAATTTTTGACACCTGAACTCCACCTCCTGACAAGCTACCCTACTGGTTACCTTCTTACCCACTGAGCAATTACCCTCCACAGCCTTTTTAAAACATTTGGAGGCACAGCACATCTCTAAGTCTGTCTTCCTCTACGGCAACGGTTCCAAAAAAATTGGTATAAATTCACGATGAGCACAAAGTCCAGACAAATACGTCTGCTCAGCTCAGCAGTGCTGCCAGGAAAGGTCGTGAGGAAGGCATCCCATTGCATACCAGCTGTCTACTTTGTCTTTCTTCCTCAATTAATACAATTACAGAATGTTTTCTTAATGAATAAGCAACAGGATACAAAGAAAAGGCCACATCTCGCACCGTGGCCTTTCAGACTTCAACCTCGAGACGCTCGAGGGGGTTTGGGTCTTGTTTCATTTTTAAACATACCCAATTTCCAATGTGCATTTCCCTCATATGTTGGAAGTTCCTGAGAGTCAGAAACTGGCCTGAGCTGACACAATGTGGCTTTCTCCTCTCTCAGCATATGCAGAGTTTGTGCGCTTTGTTCACTTCCATTTTATCAAGCTCTGTATTTTGAATCACATTTGTGTAAAAATCATGGCTTTCTCCTCAGCATATGCAGAGTTTGTGCGCTTCGTTCACTTCCATTTTGTCACCCCCAGAATCCCTTTTTTCCCCCTCAAGGGTCAAGTTCTGTATTTTGAATCACATTTGTGTAAAAATCACCTTTTCCCTTCAGTTTATCAATCAGTGTCATCAGCTCAAAGCAAACCCTATTAACCTACGGGGTTTTTTCCCCCCGCCCAACATTCTTAACTGTTAAAATAAAAAACGAGTGTGTCATCATTTAAAAGCAAACCATATTAACCTATGGGGTTTTTTCCCCCTGCCCAACATTCTTAACTGTTAAAATAAAAAATGTAGGAGGCTGCATCCCAAAATTACTCCAGACACATTTTTGACATGCTCAAGTGAATTGCTTGAGGTACCCCATTAAGTTTTAACGACTCGCAGGAAAACCCCAACCTCCTGGTTTAGTAACCTACCATAGATCCCTGCCATATGAGCATTTTCACAGGTCTCCATTCTCATTAGCCAAAGCTCCATTCATCTATTAGAGAAGTAATTAGTAAGCAGTCACCTTGGCTGGGCACACGGTGTGGGGTGGCGAGCGTGAGGAAGCAGCACTGTAGTTATTCAGGATAGACTCTAACTACAAAGTCTAAATGAACAATTAAATAAGAACTGGGTGGATAATATAGTGTCAATTTATCATTAACTGAGTGATCCAAAATAATTTGTGCAGAATGTAGGAGGCTGCATCCCAAAATTACTCCAGACACATTTTTGACATGCTCAAGTGAATTGCTTGAGGTACCCCATTAAGTTTTAACGACTCGCAGGAAAACCCCAACCTCCTGGTTTAGTAACCTACCATAGATCCCTGCCATATGAGCATTTTCACAGGTCTCCATTCTCATTAGCCAAAGCTCCATTCATCTATTAGAGAAGTAATTAGTAAGCAGTCACCTTGGCTGGGCACACGGTGTGGGGTGGCGAGCGTGAGGAAGCAGCACTGTAGTTATTCAGGATAGACTCTAACTACAAAGTCTAAATGAACAATTAAATAAGAACTGGGTGGATAATTTAGTGTTTATCAATTTATCGTTAACTGAGTGATCCAAAATAATTTGTGCAGACTTCTGTAGAAACTTTTTGAAATGGAAAGGAGGAGGGGACTAGAACATCTCTCTGCTGAGGAAAGGCTGAGGGACTTGGGTCTGTCTGGAGAAGAGAAGGCTGAGGGGGGATCTGATCAACACCTATAAATCCTTCAAGGGTGGGTGTCAGGAGGATGGGGCCAGGCTTTTCTCAGTGGTGCCCAGGGACAGGACAAGAGGGAACGGGCACAAACTGGAACATGGGAAGTTCCATCTCATCATGAGGAGGAACTTGTTTGGTGTGAGGGTGGCAGAGCCCTGGCAGAGGCTGCCCAGAGAGGTGGTGGAGTCTCCTTCTCTGGAGACATTCCAAACCCACCTGGACACGTTCCTGTGGGACCTGCTGTGGGTGACCCTGCTGTGGCAGGGGGTTGGAGGAGATGATCTCCAGAGGTCCCTTCCAACCTCACATCATTCTGGGATTCTGTTTTCATGCAGAACCAATAACGTTTTCAACTTTGTTTCTCGTTACCCATTACCTTCACTTATTTCACAACATGCCAGTATTTTGTTGTTAGTTTTCAATATTATCTCCCAGGGTTTCATACCTGCCGGTTACTCCGAGCTTCTCCTCTGTTGCACATCCTCCTGCTTGTCAGGCGTGGCCAGCGTGTCACCGTTGATGCTCTCCACACCAGTAACAGACATCAGGCTTTTCCGTTCTTTGGAATTCGATTTGTGCTCCACTTTGGTGACTCTAAACCTGAGGTAAGCACAAGAAAGACTCAGCTGTGTTTCCCCAGAGATTAGAGAGACTGTTCTCAGTACCCAGTGCAGGGACAGAGAGAGTCTTCACAGAGAGAGTGGTCGGGCATTGGAACAGGCTGCCCAGGGAGGTGGTGGAGTCCCCATCCCTGGATGTGTTTAAGGGACGTTTAGATGCAGTGCTGAGGGACATGGTGTAGGGGAGGACTTTGTAGAGTAGGGGAGATGGTTGGACTCGATGATCCCAAGGGTCTCTTCCAACCTCAAAGATTCTATGATTCTATTCTATGACAGGAACACGTTTTCAGGTCCCAAGACATTGGAGCAGACACCCACAGGGACCCAGCTTCATTTCAGAGCTATCTCCATTCCTATTACCTACGTGCACTTTTAATCCTCACAACTCCTGAATCCCACTTTCTCAGGGAATTGTGTTTTAAAGCAGATTGCATACTGCTGCTTAGAAGAGTAATTTTCTAGGACAGCTACAACGTAAGCGAGGAATTAAAAATAATGGAACAGAATGAAATGGTTTCTGTAGCTAACATTTCCTTGAGAAACACCAAATTCAGAAACGGAGGAATTTATTAGTGTGCAATCCTTGTTTCTTTTTAGCCAGTATCAACAGCGCAATAGCTTTGGATTTGTACCCACAGTAAATCCCCATCTATTTACATAGTTCTAAAATAAATTTTAAAAAAAAAAAAATCAAATTTATTTCTTCTAGAAATAACTTCACCCTAACAGTAACAGGGTTACAAACAGCTGATGCTATGAACAGAGTAGACTCCGTGAACATCTGACGGGCCAGTGTAGCACCCCTAAAAAAAGTATAAAATAAGAGTCTTACCTTCCCACAGAAAGGACTGTAACTTCTCCGAGACGACTTCTTCTGTGCTCTTTAGACTTGTGAGCTGGCTTTGTAAGGTGCCACCGTTTGTGGCTGCACCGGCTACAAACATCCTTCTCTATCACACCCCCAACAGTGTGCAAGTGATGGCCCTTGCAGCTGTGTTTGTACGGACCGGCACCCGGGGACAAAGGGGACCCCGGGCTCGTGGGGCTCCCAGGAGAGGTAGGAGATAAAGGGCTGTAGGAGAAAGTATAGAGGAAATTTAGCATTTACTATAAAATCCCGTTTCTTAAAAAGAAGAAAAAAACCAAAATATAACCTTTGGCGACAGATTTAGCATTCACTATAAAATCCCATTTCTTAAAAAGAGGGAAAAAAAACAAAGAGAGGAAAAAAACCAAAATATAACCTTTGGCGACAGCTAGTGAATAGCTAAGTTTTTTCAGGGACCATTTATCCCTGGAGGGGTTCAAGACAAGGCTGGATGGGGCTTGGAGCAACCTGGTCTGGTGGGAGGTGTCCCTGCCCAGGGCAAGGGGGTTGGAACTCAATGGTTTTTTTAAGGTCCCTTCCAACCCAAACCATTGTATGATTCTATACGTGAGGATGTCTGATTTAAGGTTCCCTCCAATATCACTTTTTTGCAGTTAAAATTCACTTCCATAAATTAATTCAGCTGCAGTCACGCGGTTAAGGTAAATAACACAAAGGGAAACCAACTAAGAGGGGAAAAAAAAAAAATCAGGCAAAATTAAAAGAGAACAGGTTACATAAACTTGTATCAATGAAGACAACTAATTAGTCGATTAAATTCACACTTGGAGAACTGCAGAAAGTACCTCAGAGTTGCTAGAGTATCTTTAAGAACTCACAGAAGAAGATCATCCCACAACATTGCAGAGGCAAAACTAAAACTTCTACCATGAAAAGGAACCAACAGATCATTCAGCTTAAGCTTCCGAAAAAAGCTTTTTTTTTGAAAGACAGACAGAAAAAGCAGTACAACCCCTAAAAGGCATTCAGTGATAATATCTAATCAAATCAATCTAATTTTATTTTAAAACAAGAAAAGCAGATAGCACAGATAGAAAGCAGGTGATGTACTTCTTTAGACTTCAGCATCAATTTTGACAGTCGTGCACCACGTTCTGCTAAAGCAAGCAAGTGCTTAATGCATCAAAGGTGAAATTACGGTAGCGTAAAGAAGCACACCTTGATAAGAAAAAAAAAAAAGAAAAAGACATATCAGAAAGAAGCAAGCAAGTGCTTAATGTATTAAAGGTGAAATTACGGTAGCGTAAAGTAGCACACCTTGATAAGAAAAAAAAAAAAAAGAAAAAGACATATCAGAAAGTTATATATCAGTAGCATAATATGAAACTGAAAGGAAAAGCTAAATGTGTTTACTCTGGCCCTGATGATATTCAGTGTTTTAAATAGTTCCCTGGGTAATCAGCAAGTTTGCTGATGGTGCAAAACTGGGAGGGGTGGCTGACACAGCAGAAGGCTCTGCCACCATCCACAGAGACCTGGACAGGCTGGAGAGTTGGGCAGAGAGGAACCTGATGAAGATAAACAAGAGCACGTGTAGGGTGCTGCACCTGGGGAGGAATAACCCCCTGCACCAGGACAGGTTGGGGCTGACCTGCTGGAGAGCAGCTCTGAGGAGAAAGCCCTGGGAGTCCTGGTGGACAACAGGATGCCCAGGAGCCAGCAATGGGCCCTGGGGGCCAAGAAGGCCAAGGGCATCCTGGGGGGCATCAGGAAGAGGGTGAGCAGCAGGTGGAGGGAGGTCATCCTGCCCCTCTGCTCTGTCCTGGGGAGGCCCTATCTGGAGCACTGGGACCAGTTCTGGGCTCCCCAGTTCCAGAAGGACAGGGAACTGCTGGAGAGGGGACAGCAGAGGCTACAAAGATGACCAAGGGACTAGAACATCTCTCTGCTGAGGAAAGGCTGAGGGACTTGGGTCTGTTTAGTCTGGAGAAGAGAAGGCTGAGGGGGGATCTGATCAACACCTATAAATCCTTCAAGGGTGAGTGTCAGGAGGATGGGGCCAGGCTTTTCTCAGTGGTGCCCAGGGACAGGACAAGAGGGAACGGGCACAAACTGGAACATGGGAAGTTCCATCTGAACACGAGGAGGACCTTGTTGGGTGTGAGGGTGGCAGAGCCCTGGCAGAGGCTGCCCAGAGAGGTGGTGGAGTCTCCTTCTCTGGAGACATTCCAAACCCACCTGGACACGTTCCTGTGGGACCTGCTGTGGGTGACCCTGCTGTGGCAGGGGGTTGGAGGAGATGGTCTCCAGAGGTCCCTTCCAACCCCAGCCATTCTGTGACTCTGCAATGGAGTAGAAGAATGGCACAAGTACCCAGAGGAGAGCACGTGTGTTAAAGGCACACTCACACACATACAAATCTTATTAAAAGCACTGGATCTGTTGCAGTAAGGACTCCACATATCTCAGCGCTTCAGCAGACAGAAACCCCAGATTAAAAAGCAACCAGCAAGCTGATCATTCCTCAGAAAAAGAAAGTGAAGATCACAAGCTGAACATCAATCATGACGAGGTTGTTGCTGAAAATAGGTCAAATTTCACAGTGGAAATTACAGGAGTATAACCTGTGAACCTAACGTCACATTACTCAGCGTGACTCATGCCTCAGCCCAACGTTCCATCCACTAAGAGAAATTTTAATTCAGGAAAAATACCAACAGACTGAAGAGACTCCAAAGGAGGACAGAAAGAACAAATTAAAGACAAAAAACACGCCATTAAGAGACTGGAGTTACTTGAATGCTTATTTTTAAAACAAAAATATTGACAAGAGGCATTTAATGGTCTTTGAATAAATAAGAGAATGCTGTAAGGGAAGTAAAATCTGTTCCACATCCGACACAAACAGAGGAATTGATGGCTTTAAGTGGCAGAAGCGCAGATTTCACTTTGCCGTTACTATTCCTAGTGTTAGGAAGCATTTTATAGTGCCCCAAACTTAGTAAGAAATATAGTGCATTTGCACTTCAGTTACTAGAGCTTTAGCAGTATCTGTCAGAAGAATATCTGTCATCATTTTTCCCTTGCCCTTACTTTTTATTTTAATTCCTCGTATTTTAATTCCTCACAATAGTCTAAAACTCCCAAAATAACATCGCACGTAGTTACGCAAAAAGATTGGGTTAAGACTCAAACAAATATTTCTGCCGTGCCATGAAGTTTTGAAATAATTCCTATCCTGAGTAAGAATAAAAACCCTGATTAGAAATGAGGTCAATAACCCAGCCTCTCACCCTTAAAGCAGGAGATAAGCAAACGCTATTTGTTTTGTTAAGACTACGCACTCCCACTGCTTTTATTAGTGACATAGAACTGCTTGAACCTTCATCTTCTCTGCCTTGAATATGAACCCATATGAAAAGCAGTAAAATTACATAGTTTAAAGGCACTCCTGGACAGATATAAGTCATTTTTACAGAAATGATGCATCTGCAACTCAAGAGCTGAACTACTTTACGTAATTCCCTAAATAGGTGTGTAGGAAAAAGAAAAAAAAAAAAAGAAGAGGGAGGTCAGCCAATGTATATTATCATCACAATTGTAAAGGAAAAAGTAAACCAGGAGGAGACACAGAAAAAGCTGTCTATTTGAAGTTAGCAACAAATGAAGCAAGTGCTGTGCCTTGTTCTTTCAAGTCAGAGTAGCTTTGGAATAAGCCACCTTGTAACTTCACCCTGAAGCAAACAAGTATTTGCAGCCTCTGTAAATCTTTAGCCCAAAAAAGCAATAAATCTGCGTTACACACCTGGAACCCATATCCTGAAGAGCCAGTTACTAACCCAGAGCATACATGAAAATTGAGTGACTCGGAGACACCACAAGGAAATCAAAGTATCATCCTTTTAACTGGTAACTCGGGAAATGAAACCCTTTGAAAGGGTAAGGTTTTAGTCGCCTCAGGAAACATGCATTAAAAAAAGATGAGTAATTACCTTTCAGGTTCAAAGACACTGCTATCTGCTACCATGGCCTTTAACACATCAGCATTTGCTGCAATGAGAATAAATAGAATTCTTCAAAATTGTACGGCTCTAACTTCAGAAAAATAAAAAAAACACCCAACAAAAACAAACAGCAAGATTAAAGGTCCTCAAAAGAAATTTCACCCGAAATATCTCCAAAAAGACATGAGATAAATGATGCAAAAGAAAAAAAGAGTTAATGTAATTCTATAGGATTTTCTTAACTAAAATTACAGTTCATATTGCACTCAAAGCTCTTCCCCAATACAAGCCACACACAGAGCCATCTGCACAACACCCCCAAGCGAGATCTCTAAAAACCTTTAAAACATCCATTTGACCACAGGAGTATCATCCCCTCTCTTGTATAAAGCAATTTAAGATTAAAAATGCCAGTTCAGGCAAGCCTTACAAAATGATTGCTCACATACTAATAAAGCCTTATAAAATGATTACTCACATATTAAACAAAACCACCAAAACCCACACACACGGGGACCTAATCCCAACCTTGAGCAAAAATACACAAGCTCAAAGCCCTAAGAGTTAGGGGGGGGAAAAAAACCCAACAACAACAAAAAAAAACGACCAAAGCCAACCCAAAACCAGCTTTTCCAGAGGATTAGTCTTCATCCAGGAGTAACTCAAAGCAAGCTCAATGCTTAGGAGAACTTTCATTTATACAAAATGTAATATTAAAAGGCTAAAGGTTCTCATACTATAAAAATATACAGTCTCCTAAATGCTTCTTCAACTGGGCAAATATGATCTGAACTAACCAACCTTTCCATAGGCTACTTCAGTGGGATTTAATTATTTTTTTTTTGTCAGTTATATCTTCTTTATCCTTCATTCTGCACACACGAGGCATGGAGATACCACCTTCAAAATTCAGCGCTGGCCCTACTCTGCCCTATTGGCTCAGTCACACACAAACCTTCCCTCAGACAAAGCTGCAGGAGTCATTTCAGGACAACAAGGTCAGTCTGGTCAAACCACCAATATTTTCCAGGCTTTCAGCATTGCCATTAAGAAAGCGACCTTTAGCTTTTACTTCACAAACGAAACAAAAACATAAACCCAAAAAAAACCCCAAAATCTAACACCCAAAGAGTTAAAATATCAAGAAAAGCATGAACCAAACTTATCACACAAATGAGCTTTCGGGTAAGCAAAGAACTTCCTTATTTTGTTTGAAGTTATTGCCTTCTGATGGCAATTTCAAAGAGTTAAGCTTGTGCAAAATGGTTATTAAATGAAAACACACCATACTTAAGAATATCTGAAAAAAAAAAAAAAGTAGTATTTTTTACAGAACACCATCGCAAAGGCCCATAATTTCAATATCACAATACTATACCTTCATTTTTCATAATGTAGTTAACAATTTGTCCCACAGTGTCGCTATTCTCATGTAGAGTGTCATTCATTTCTGTGCAAGGAAATAAACACGGTGTCAATACCTTGGCCTTCCAAGTCAAGAACCGATTTACTTTACAAGAAAGGAATAACCAAAAAAAAATCCAAGCCAAAACAAAAAACCAAATGCACACACACCGGAAAAAAGTTAGATAAAGAAAAGACAATCTATTGTCAGAAAGCTTAGATGAGACTTTTGAGTCCTTATGCAGGACAGAATATAAACAAGAGTTTATGGAATCTACACATCAGCTCTAAAACATTCATCCAAGAGCTGAAAAACTCCAATTTTCCAACATGCATCAAAATTCCTTCTCTAGCTCATAAGGAGACAACCAAGAGAGCAGCATTCCTAAACCTAACCACAGGGAAGAAGAAAACCAACCAACCAAAATCCTTCAACTGTCTCAAGTCACTATTTTAAAATAGGTATTATCAGCTTCTAGTGCAAGCAGGATTCAATTTAAGCTTTTCACCACAGCTGCAAGGACCTAATATTTGATTTTTTTAATTAAAAAAAAGTCATCTCATATGACTACAGGAGCAAGGGATTTAAGAGAAGAAACCTCATAACTATATTTAACCCTTTTGGAATCGATTGCATCCATTAACAATCCCAGAAGCTCCCCCAGAATAACCTCAGAAGGCAGAGAGAGATCAGGAAGAGAAGCAGGACAACTGAGAGGCACAGTTCTGTCCCTCCCTAATAATTGTTATGAAGAGCTTTACAAAATGAAAAAAAAAAAAAAAAAAAAATCACAGGATTGAGGCAAGTTTAATAGGCAAGACCCTAAATTTGTCTCTTAGTAGTAATTTAGGGGCTTCCTATCTCTCTACCCACCCTTTATCCTCACCCCTGAAATTTTACAGTGCAATTTAGACACAAAATAAGAGCTAAAAGTTGAAATTAAGGGCTAGAAGTCCTCCCCCTTTGGTTACCGCTCACCTCGGTGGCACAACTAACAGATCAGAGAGTCCCACTCACTGCCCCAGGCAGGAATTAAGAACAGGCTGACACCTCATTACCTGCCCCACACCTGTAATTTGCTGTAATTTGTGATTATGAACCTACTGATGGGTAGTTAATTGAGAGAAGGGAAGAGGCCCAAAGTATTTCCAAGTGACTTTGCCTTTGTATTCACTTAACCAAATGCTACACCAGGTTACTAGAGCCCTTCCCAAGTGATAACACTCTTTTCTTAGGGTTTTGTTGTGGTTTTTTTTTTCCAAGTAAGAGAAGATGGGAATAAGGAACCATAGAAAACAAGCACAAACAAACAAACAGTAGAACAAAAAGAAAGGTATTTTTAGAAAAAGCTATAAGCAACAGAGATAACAAACCAGAAGGCAATCAGTCAGTCAGTCCAAAGGCTCAGCTTTAGGAACGACACCACAACAGGAACAAATTAAGACTGCTCAACACAAAACAAAGGTCAGAGAACTCATGTGGGAAACTGGAACACTCCTAGTTTTGACTGGCAAAGATCAAGACCTAACATACATAGAATAATAACAATACTTTTCTTAATATGGTGTTGATGTCGAATATAGAGGGCGAGATGACAGAAGTCTCACAATAAAATACTCCACAGCAGTTGCACTGTACATAAATAAGAAGTTGTTTGTGATACTTGTTGATTACCTATTTTTTCATCCAGTTTTTCTTCTTCTAACTGTTCGGCCTCTGTTGTACAACGATATCCTTTTTTCTTAAGGATGTGACAGACGAGGATCCCCAAGAGGCCCGTGATGAAGAAAACAGGAACCAGTGCAAAGGCAATATACTCCAGGTGTTCAGACTTTCCATCCATGCCATCAGTTTTAGTCGTGGAAGTGGTGGTCTGTAAGCCATGGTTTGACAAAAGCCGGAGAAACTCTCCATCATCTACGGAAACGAAGAAATACAGTTATTACTATATGCTGTAAATCACTTCAAAGCATTTAGAAGATTACAAGCACGATCAAATCCCCACAGCGTCGATGTCACGTACCTTCCACGATGACCTGAATGGGCAATGCTTACTCTACGGGCTGAGAACTCACACCCCTACAAATAAACCATCTTCATAAAAGGATTTACAAAAAAAAAAACATACAAAAAAAACCCGCATGATCTTTCTTCAATATAACAGTGAAGAAGAAATGATCTTTCTGATCAGGCTGACAAGTTTGTTATCTCAAGTGGAGGGCTCACGTATTTCCCTGAAGAAGGACACCACCAGGGCTCCTTGTTCCCATCAGGGAGGAAAACGCCACGCAATTGCTCGGGTCCTAAGTTTGTGCAAAATTGCTAAAAAAAAAAAAGATGGATCCTTCCCTAATATGAGAGTAAGAACAGGATTTAGTATTGACCCTCACAAAGCATCAGGTTTCACAGAAATAGCCTTGATTTTTCTTTTCTCCCTGTACTCTGCCCTTTCCCCTCTCTACTCCAAATGAATCTCCAAATCAACTCTTCGGGTTTTCTACCTCTCTTGGGGACAAGCACCATGAGCTGCTCAAACAAGTAACATCTCTTGATGTTTCTTTATAACTGTGGTAGGTAATTCCCACACCAAACCTCATCATGTGGCTGAAGGTCCATGCTTCAGACTCTCCAAGTGGTGGGTCATTATGGTTTCCCAAAAGGCAAAGTGCCCTTAGGAGGTCCCGTCCCCTTCAGTCCTGATAGACCATAGCCCCAAAAACAGTTTTAAACTGGATTATCTAGCTTGGGGCAGAGTGGCTGGAGAGCCTGGCAGAAAAGGACCTGGGGGTGTTGGTTGACTGTTGGCTGAACATGAGCCAGCAGTGTGCCCAGGTGGCCAAGAAGGCCACCAGCATCCTGTCTCGCCTTTAGGAGGTCCCGTCCCCTTCAGTCCTGACAGACCATAGCCCCCAAAGCAGTTTTAAACTGGATTATCTAGCTTGGCGAAGAGTGGCTGGAGAGCCACCTGGCAGAAAAGGACCTTGGGGTGTTGGTCAACTGTTAGCTGAACATGAGCCAGCAGTGTGCCCAGGTGGCCAAGAAGGCCACCAGCATCCTGTCCTGTGTCAGGAACAGCATGAGGAATAGGACTCGGGGGTTGATGGTCCCCCTGGACTGGGCACTGGGGAGGCCCCACCTCGAGGGCTGGGTCCAGTTTTGAGCCCCTCACCACAAAAAATACCTTGAGGGGCTGGAGCGGGTCCAGAGAAGGGCGACAAAGATGGTGAGGGGTCTGGAGAATAAGTCTTATGAGGAGAGGCTGAGGGAGCTGGGGGTGTTCAGCCTGGAGAAGAGGAGG